ACATTTATTTATATATTTTTCGGAGTGTGTCTCTTCCCAGACGCCGGAAGTATGAGCAGACAAGAATAGAATCACTACAGGGAACACAAACGAGGAACACGCCACGTTCTTCGTCCGGTTCCTATCTCGCGGCGTTATCTCATCCGGTTAGCATCGCGTGGCTCTGTTCCGCTCTGGCGCACCACCTTCCCCCCCTCCCCCCCCCCCGGCCCCCCCGCCGGAAGGAACGAAAATTGGAGAGAATGCAATTCACGAGAGACTCTCGGAGTTCTCTCGAGGATTGGGGAGCCGCGCGTGGAACCGTGTCGACGACACCGTCTCCATCGCAAAAGAAGCCGGTCTTAAAAATATAGTATGCACCTTTAACATTCCGTATATTAAAATAATTCTTAGTCTGTCGAAATGAAGGTCATCTATCGATGATGCACGTCGTCTGAAAATTCTTTGGCGGTCCAACAGAACATTTTTCCTCGCTTATCCTTCTTCCTGCCACCAAGAAATTTCCTTACATGGAGGAATTTAATGCCTTATTTTGGAATGTACCGACTCAAATCGTTTTCTTAGTCATGTACTTAGAAAGGATTCATCATTGATGCCGTATCCACTCGGACATTCTGCAATTTAAAAGTCATCGGAAAAAATTAGCCAGCGCAGATGAAGCACGTGCGGGAGAGAACTCCGTCGCAAGGCGAGTCGGGAGGGCACCCAGTGCGCATGCGCAGTCGGGCATTCCATTCGCTCGCTCGTTGCACTCTCCGTGGCGTGCGGGAGAGAGCGGTGAGCAGTCGTGGGTGACGCATCGTCTGTGTCGGTGGCGCGGGTGCGTCGGCGTCTGGGAATTTGCAGTGCGCTTTCAGTCTTTATGGGTGGAGGGACTCGTCTGGTGCGCTCCAGGTTTCTCCATCCACATTTTCGGTCGTTTCTGGGGGAGGCAGTCGGGAGATTGAATTTTGTTACGGATGGTGTACACCATCCGTAACAAAATTCAATCTCCTCGTGTTACTGGGCGTATCATCAAGAGGGAATTTGCCATGCTTCTTCCTCTCTCAACCCAGAACGAGCCCGGAAAATTTGAAGCTCCATCTCCCCGGGGTTGTGGAGCACAAGGAATCTCGCTTTTTAAAGATGTCGACTTCATTCCTTTTTTTTCTCCCCCTCTGGATAGCTACTCCTGTTTCTTTTTCGGAGGAATGAGACCAAGCAAGAGAAAGCTATTGACTTAATTCACTTATTTTTTATGGAACTATATTTTTTGCTGAATTCATGAGATGAGCTGCGATTGAAACGGCGGTTAGCAATGACCGATCGATCCGGTGGGATACGGAGACGTATCTTAGGAAGATAACCCTGAATTGACGCGATCACCGTGCATTTCCAGCTCCCCGGAGGCATTCAAAACTCAGACCTAGTCGAGATGGTTCGAGGAGCTCCAGATAGGCCTAACGTTGCGCGTCCTCAACGAGAAGTCTCGAAGACCACGAGTTTGACACTCAGAGGCCCAATTGGCCTAGTATGTGGGCATTCTTTTGACAGAGAAAAGGTAGGCCTTGGCCTGACCTGAAGACAGTCCCACGGTTAGGTCTATGCATAACCTTTGTGAGTCCCGTAGGGAAGGGCCCCCTCCCCTTCTCTACGAGACTAACAAAGGGGAGAGGGGGGGGGGGGGGGGTGGGGAAAGGGAAAGCCTTCGGAAAAGGATTTTCGCATTGCCTTGTACGTAACATTATATCGGGTGCGGCAAAGATAACGTTCAATTTTTTCCATTTAAATTATTATATCGGAGAATCCTTCAGCGCTCCAGTTGTACATATTTCCGGATGCATGCATCGACATCTCGCCTCTTATTAAAAAAAAAATATAATATTTATAATATAAATTCTGCCTCATCTGCTTTCGCCACAGAAGCATTCGGAAGATTCTCTCGTCCCGAGAGGGAAAAGCCCGATTGATCGTTTTCGCGGCAACCATCGCGACAGTCGTGACCATGGCGTCGTCTAATGCGGTATCGAGACGTGTCTCACCTATTTTTTGTTCTGAACGTTTTTTTGCATTCGCTCCGAAGAACCATTCTCTGAGGGAAGCCTTGGAACGCTCGGAGAGGCTATTTCCATGCATCGTACTCGCGAACATCGTGCCTGTATGGCAAAACCAGCATTGAGAAAATTCCGTAATTTTTTCCCATTACGTAACACGTGTTGAGGCATATCTGATTGAACATACACAGCCGAAGCTTTGATGGAATTCAAGATCTAAGCATCGAACCCGACGACCCCTGCACGTTAAGTTTTTGCATCGGCTTCCATCTCAAAAATTAGCTCGATCGAAATCATCTTCGAAGACGACGAATAAAAACATTTCATGCGTCGAAGTGTCGCGCGGGAACCGATCGCCGAATCCAGGTCGTTATTTGGCAGTTTTTTTGTTGCTTAAAATGGTTGGAAATTTGAAGATTCGGCTCGAGAGCCGAGTTTTGGCATCCCTGAAGAACCTTCTTCGTTCGTCGATATCGTGACCTTATTTATTATGACCTTAGAGGACGTAGTCGACAAATTAATTTTCTTCCACGTTAATTTCGGAGGATCTGAGCCCGGTCTTGCATGAAAGAAACTGGTTCATTGGCGAGAAATGTTGCAAAAAGAAGTTGCATCTTGCACGTAGACCCTTTTTGAAGCGTGGCAAAGAAATTTCTTGAATAAATTTTTGAAAGTTTTCCTTCCAGCTCTTCACGCACAGTAGGTCGTCTCGGTCGACCGATGTGGAGCCTGTCGTGCGCTCTGTTGTGTTCTCAAGGAAACGCGAAGTCGGAACGATCCGGGATTCCAGTTCCAGATCGGCGTTTTTTTCCGACCACCGGAATCGGACGATGCCGATCTGCGGGATCGCGTGCAGTTTCCTGGGGAGGGGACGAATTTTGCGACCCAGCAACCGAGTTCCAGCTTGATCGATTGTCTTCTCTTCGGCACGAAGGCGGCCCGCTTCTGTGCTATCCCAGACGTATTTATTGAATAGATTTTCTTGTCTTCGTCGGGCGAGTCCGCATTTTATCTTGGTTTTTAAAAAATAGGTTCGATGGGGGTAGAAAATGAACAGAAAGTACATTTTCCTGCTTGCATCGCCTCGTTTGCCTTATCGAGCCGAGTTCCCCCGATAAACGCGCAGACGACGACTTTCGCTCGAGTGCAGGAAGAGCAATCCCAGCTGGATAATAGGCGGGAATGGGACGAGTATGTCTCCCCCGCAATCTTCTACGCCTCTGAGAAGGTTGGAAGCGGAAGGAGAAAAGAATCGTCAGTGAGTCGTTTGCCTTGGCGCAGGTCCTACTCAGTGCTTATCGAAGATGAAAGTAGGTTCGACCTTGAGACCCCCCACCCTTCCCCCCCATAGACGCACGCATGCAGTCGCGGACGGAGGAATGTGCAAGATGAAACGTGCAGGCACTCGCCACTCCTTTACATGCAATGACTGTCGGCTGCTCGCCTTTCCTCTTCCGATCCTTCTCGGACTCCGGGATAATTTTCCCTCATCCGCGTCTTTTCGGTCGGTCCTTCCCGTCCATCAATCCGTTCTCCCTTTCTATTGCTAAGTCCGTCCACGAGTGTCTAGTACTTCAGCCGTCCCAATTTCCTCCGCCCGAATGTCTTCATCACGTCCAAACTCGAATGCACGCTCGAACTATAAAGTTATTTTCAATCTCGCCTCGAAGGCGAATTTGATGACCGATAGGTGGCACTGCTGACGCTCATCATTGCAGACGTAATGCAGGATTTCAGGCCCCTTAACCAATATCGACTTCTTTTTTAAACATCCATTCACTCGCCTGTGGACTGGAAAAGGCTGTCGAGGCGAACCGTCAACATCAGTGGAATTGCAACTCAATGTAGCTAAAAAAAAAATAAAATAAACATGTCGAGAGATACAACCCTGCAGAGCTACAAAACGAGTTATGAGCCTGTGTAAGCCCCCCAAGGCGGCGCAATGGGGCGGCAAGCTCATTCAAGGCATTATTTGGGGAGACCGTGATTAATAACTCGTCTCCTCCAAGTCGAACGAATCAGTTGAATTGCAAGAGTGAAGACTCCGGAAATGTTTCTCATTGCTCTTGGAATCTTACTTCTTTTGCTTCAAGTGGAACGAATTTACATTTTAAAACTTTCTTCTTTCATGTGCCAGCTGAAACAGGTGTGAGAGAAACGAAGGGAAATGACTCTTCGCGTGAAGGTGATAAGAGCGGGAAATCTCCCTGGCATCGAGACCTTCGGCAAGGTCAATCCCTATGTCCAGCTCAACTTTCAAGGTCAGTCTTCGTCATCGAGGTCAATCGGAGGGATTAAGACCGTGCAGGCGCACCAATACATTTCATGCGGGATGGAAGTAGGTGTTGACCCTTACGAAAATGTCCTATAGGAAACCTATAGACCAGTGTTGCACAACCTGCGGGCCGCGGGCCGCATGCGGCCCGCGGAGACCTTTTTTGCGGCCCCTTGGAAGCGTCCGGTCTCTAAAGTTCCATATTTAAATGCGGCCTATTTCGGCTTATGTTCGCGGCCCTCGAACATGAGCCGAAATCTCAATTTGGCCCTCCTGGGGGAAAAGGTTGTGCACCACTGCTATAGACTTCCTTACCTCCATCATACCTCCATCTAGTGGCATAGAGGAGAACTTCAAACGGAACCCAATAGACCTATAGGGTTCCGTATATGCCCTATAGGGAACAATATAGGTCCTATAGGTTCTAAAGGGAGACCTATATGTTCTATAGGGAACCCTATAGGCCCTAATGAGAACCCTATAGATCCCATAGGGAACACAATAGGTTTTATTGGGAACCCTACGGGTCCTATACGGAACCCTTTGGGTCATATAGGGAACTCTATAGGTTCTATAGGGAATCATACAGGTCCCAAACAGAACCCTATGGGGCTTATAGGGTTCCCTACAGGCCCTATAGGAGCCTGTAGGATTCCTAGATGTTCCTATATATATGGCATTTTCGTAAAGGGATGGTACTAGTTGATATAATACAGGGTGGTCCAAAAATCTCAATACATAGGGAAAATTAACACTTTTTAAAAGAGTGTAACTTTATTTTCAAAATATGCTCTACATACATATTGAATTATTTTTCTTTTCTTCAGATACCCATTAAGAATGCCTTTGTCGAAAGAAGAACGTGTAGAAATCATTCTGATGGCCGGATCAGGAAGCTAATTAAGGAAGTTAATTTTCCCTATGTACGGAGGCTTTTGGACCACCCTGTATACGAGTATACTAGAAAGTAGCCAGCAAGATCGATGCACTACACCGAACAAAACATTCCATAAGTTTTCCTGTCCGAAATCCGCGTTCACAAGACTCTTATCTCTCTAGGGGAGACCCGGAAGACGACGGCGAAGGAAACGTGCGACCCGGAATGGGAGGAATGGCTGGAGTTCCCCGCGGGAGAGAAGCCGGCGTCCACCCTCAGCGTCTGCGTCAAGGACCAAGGGGAGGGCGACAGCGATCGGTGGGGGAAAAGCGTCGAGTTTGAATTCAAATCATAAAATAAGGGAATTTTAAAGAACGTTCAGATGTCGTTTCCCAGACGATGAAGTCGCCTTGCCTTAAGGGGAAACTTTTCCTCCTCGCAGAAAATAACTGGGTGGCGCAATGAAGCGCGTCCTGTTTGAAGCTTCATAAAACTTACTTAGGGAGTTGCTAGACTTACGAACCTTTTGTATCGCATGGGAAGCCCTCTAAAATCTGACAATTTTCGGATTGAGTCAAGAGCAGCAGTCGTTGAAACTCGGATAAGAAAATTCCACTTTTTCCGGAGTTTCGGCATTACGCCTTCATTTTTCGTCGAAACGTCTGCTTTTTCACGGCAGCATTCTTCTTCCAATGCCCTTGACTGCGCCGTGCCATCTTGTCGTGCCCTTTAAGAGAAAAATCACGGAGTGAAACGGCAAAAGGCCTGGAGAGGAAGTGACTCCGCAGAACCGAGTCCACGACTTCATTTGCGACTCTCCCCATTCTCTCCCCTCTCCATTACCTCTGCATGATATTGACCTTTCCACCCGAGGCCTAAAGACGCGATCGAGAACACCTCGACGACACGGCGCGAAACAGCCTTCGTGCCTCAACGAACGATTTTTTTTTCGAAGTTGCTGAGATTGCATTCACCTCATGCGTGGAAAAGTGACACTTTATGTCTGCACTTTTAATTACTGTCGCTTTTCATTTAGACAACTTTTACGCTTTTTTTTTTTAGTGTTTTCAATGTCATACAATAAATTACGAACTTGGAATTCCCATAAAAATCGATTTTGCAAGGTGTCAAACCGGACGCCCTTTACTTGCGCCACCCGATATTCGTCGAAATCCGGCTGGATGGATTCAATTTCTTTTTTATATGGATGCTGAGAAAATTTCAATTTGAATCCAATGCAGTGCGATTCGCTACGCAAGAAGATATCTAAATATGAAATTTTTATACCGGAACTCCAACATAGGAAGTTATTATTGAATTGCCTAATAACGATACGCATTACGTTTTAGCGATTAAAAAAAATATTAGTGCTAATTGCAGGGTGTTGGGCGCGGCAGTGGTGAACCTGCAAGACATTCCCTTCGGTCCGGGAGGCTTCGAGTCGGAGTTTCACTTGCAGGACGAAAACGACCGTCCCACGGCCGGGGTCGTCTTCCTCCGCTTCGAATGGGCGGGCCCTCCCGACGCGGAGGGAGGACCTGGGCTGGAGGGGACCGGCCTCGTCGAGGGGAAGCAGGAGAAAGGTGAGATCGGGGATGTCACTGGCACGTTCATGCTCACGCGGAAACGATTAAGCAATCGTAGTAAGGGCGGTATCGTCTCTTAAGCAAGGCTCTGATGAATGATATAAAGACTATAAACTTATAAATTTGTAGTTATGAATTATAATATTGGTTTCATGTTAAGGGTGGGTGCGCTTTTTGTCCTGTTCGGAGTCAGAAAGTGTTGTTTATGCCAGTTCTTTCTTCTGCAGTTATTTGAGAAGCACGCGAAGGATCGTTCTGTTTTCGGTTTTGGCTCACTGAGTTACAGAAACTCTGCTTTGTCTAGACCCATTTAGTGCCAGGGTCGATTAGATCGACGCTACGAAAATTTCGGTGAATAGTGCCAGAGTCGAACGTTTTGTGCAACTCTTTACGCGATTCTCGGATTTCGTGCAATTCCACTTGCAAAAGTTCTCGAGATTCCGCCGACCTGGGCCGAGACATTGCGAGAGGATGNCTCGGATTTCGTGCAATTCCACTTGCAAAAGTTCTCGAGATTCCGCCGACCTGGGCCGAGACATTGCGAGAGGATGTCCCTCTTAGAAGGGCAGAGAAGGAGAGGAAAAGAGAGGACATCCCTCCGCAGGTCATCCCCGCCCTTCAAAGCTTCAATACGGAAGGGATATTTCCTTGGTCACGTGACCATAGGGTCACATGATCACAGCTCCGTCCCTATATTCATCGTATGCTTTTTTGCCGCCTTAGTCCGAAGGTGCTGTTCTGCACAGCTTGTTCATGGTGGATTGTTCCTGATTTCTCTCGTGGGCCTAATTTGCAAGAGAAAAGAAAAGCAAAAGGCCCATCGACATTTACTTGTACGCTTCCTTGGGTGACTTAACTGCTAAAGTTAGGCTGATAGCAGCCGCGTTCTTTAACGCTTTGCTGATGAGTCGGGGCAGAAGTTCGAGAAGGTTCTCGGCCTGTTGGATCCAGGATCAAATGCGGTTTTGGGGAAAAGCCAAGAAGAAAAGCTCCATGCACAGGGCGACAGTTCTCAGTGTTGCAGGTTTGAATGGCTCGCCATGTACGCAATTTCCAACGGTGAGCGTTGAGTGACATTTCCAGAAAGCTTGTCTCGTGCAGTTTTGTTTTGTTTCGTTGCAGATTTGTTAGGGGTCAATATTTGCGAGAACAAAGGGTGTGGGTAGTGACTAAATTCAGGGAGATGAGGTCAAACTGTGGGAATGCCGAAATAAAAATGGAGGGCATCTTGAACACATTTTAGCATAATTTCAGTATAATTTGTAAAATTTCTTTGATATCAATAAAACTGCAGAGCTTTAGCCTTCAATTGAGCGATTGCTCATTAAAATCAGTAGTCAAATATGAAAATGAGAGCTTATGAAAATCAGTAACACTGAAAATTGTCACCCTGTTGCCATCTTCTTGTTAGACTCTAAAATTCGACGGTGTGTTTAGTCCTACCGATGATGCCCGAAGCATTACGACTACCAAGTCGAGGTACCAGCGTTGTCCATCCCGAATCGCAAGAATTCAGGATCGCCACGAACAAACTGTGATGCTGTAGAGCAACACGCGTGGACGAGGGCAACAAAAAAGCAAGCAATAGATATGGTGGGGGGGCCAGAGTTCGGGTCACATGGCGTAAGAAGAGGCCTTTCAAATATCCCTTCCGTATTGAAGCTTTGAAGGGCGGGGATGACCTGCGGAGGGATGTCCTCTCTTTTCCTCTCCTTCTCTGCCCTTCTAAGAGGGG